TCTGCAATGGAAACAATGGATTATGTTTGTGAACGGTTATTCGAAATAAAATTAGACAATAGGATTCTTACCAGGAATTTGATGGAACTATTACTAAAATGAACCATGAATGTTCTATTCATCTTCAATAGTCATCTGTACAGACAAGTTGACGGTTATGAGGTCCCCAGTGGGCTCCATATTAGAAGATAAATTTCTGAAAAATTGAAAATATCCCTTTGAAAAATGCAACTGCCAATTTGAAACTGTTCTGGATAATACTTCCTTAGTTCTTTTTAAGTGACTATGTGACACTTATGTTCTGACACACTACAACAGCCTTTATCTATTAGCTCATTTTTTTAAATGAAAGTGAAATCAATGATTCGATACACTTTAATGACTTCCTAATAACAAGAAAAGAAGATGGCCATATAATGAGGAGTATGCAGAGGAAGTAGACGACTGAGTGATAGTACCCACAATTTCTCAGCTAGATGTCAGTATAGTACAAACTTAATCAAATGCTTAGCATTCAGAGTAAGATCGTTTTGTTTCAAGGAGTGTGTATGAAAGGAGCTACTGTTTATCCATAATATTTTCAGTGAAAACGGATATCCTGAAAAGTTCAGTAAGGACTACATTGCTTACAGTAATCTCAAAAGAGAATTGATGATTGCGACAAAGAAATCTTTGTTTCTGCTATTACAATTCAGAAAAACGCTCGAAGTGACATCCTATCACAATGCCTAGGTAGAGCAGCAAATAGAACGACTTATTTAGGTTGTCTTGGCATATTTTTCAGTAGTCAACCGATACTCACTCTGATACTGAAGAATAGCCTACCTGATATTAGCTCCCCATCTTGCATATATCAGTTTGATTTTTCCTGTCGAACAAGTTACATAAGGCGTATGATGACTCAGGTGTTTCTCCAAATACAAGAACATTTCCCACTTTGTGTTAGAAAAGGTGAAGTAAAAGCGGTAAAACGTTCTACTTTATTTCACTGAATGAACATAGGGCATCAAACATGTTAATGTCGCACATTATATACCAAATAGTTTCAATATTTAGTTTATTTATTCCAGACTTCATCCTTGTTTTAAAAATCGGAAGTGATATAAAAGATTTGAGCATGAAAAGTTAACCAGTGGACCTCAAGTTCAAGATGACGATGTTGTTATCTGGAAATACTTTTGAACACAGATTGACTGATATTACCTACGGAACTACTGAAAGCTGAAGATATTTAGAATATATTTTGATCTACTTTCAGACATCTCAGTGTCTCAGAACTAACGGACACACTAGCGTTTTGTCACGTAGTTAGAATTTAGTCGTTTGCATTTTTTGGCGTCAGTTTTTTATGCAGCATAACCATCATCAGTATTATTTATATAAGGGTTCTCCTCTATACGATTCTATTCTAAGATAAAGTCAACCAAATCATTGGAAAGATCGATAACCATTTTATTTATTCCAGTGAGGATCTGACTAATCGGTGAATCGTGAGTTTAATATTGTTAAGGTAGTTCATTGTGTTTTTGATGAATTTTTCCTCAGTGTTTATTCATTTTTAAATACTTTTGTCAAATAACTATTATCATAATCTCATAATAAATAGAACTGCTATGATTGTTATCTCTGTGTTATTGACTAATATTAGGCTGGCTTTGCCTGATCATCAATGACATCGAATATTTTCCTATTTCAGATGCTACAATTAAGAATTAGGATAGACGATGACAAGAAGCAAAGAGCTTATCAGAGACATGGTGATTGACAGCAGCCAGCTAAGAATATGTGCTTTTCTTATAGCACTCATAAAATTGGAGAATAAGATGATTTTAATAATCTAATTATTCACTTTGGAGGTTTTTGGGGATTTTATCGATTTCAAGTTGGCAGTTATCACAAACTGACATTATTTAATGAACCGCTGAAAACCTGGGAGCATTCAACAGCTATTTCGCACTACATCGCGGATTAACTGAAGTAGGAAAACGTGGACGACTAAACTCCAACCCAGTGGCTAAACGGTTAACTTGTTCTTCAGGGGATCTGAGGGTGCTGGGTCCGGTCTTTGCTGAGGTCATGGGTGAGTGCTGCTGAGGAATCCTGTGGCGCAACGAAACGACTGTCCGGTACTCTCAGGCATTCAATGTTTCTCCAACTTATTTCAGTCCACGATGAATACCTAACTAGGGACAGAAAATTAAAAGAGAGTTTAGTCAATTATTAACCGAACAATGGAACTTATTATATAGCAGGTTTTTCGGAGAATAATCTTGCTGCTCACCATCCAGAAAGCTTAACGGCTGAAAGAAACTCCATCAGAGGGGATATTTATATTAGCCTAACTACCGTTTACTTTCTTTCCGGCTTGTGGTAGTTAGAAAAGATGGATTAGCTATGATGTTGAATAAAAAAGACAAATACACTAACTGAGTAGAGCTTGATTTGTTGGTCAGGCATTATAAAACTAGTATATAATTGAAACTAATTTTCCTCAACAAATTTCTGAATTATATGGCGAGTCTTATAAGCCAGGTCATCAATAGCTCAGTAGTATTAGTTTTGACTTGGATGTTGATTGACGTAATTTTAAACCTCTATGATAATTCAGAGTTATAGATATCCCTTTGTCATAGATGTCGGCTGATAAGTATCCTTTTAACATGCGCTACTAAGCAAGTTTCAGTGCAGTATCGTGTTACTGACCTCAGTGGGTACATTACATTCGCTGACTGTTGTATTTCTTCTTCTGCTTAAACTCTAAGCAACGTTTCAGTTATTGCTGTATGCATCTTAGAGGCTCTCTAGAAATTATATTTCAATGTGAGAAAATTATCCAATGAAAAAAGTCATCTTAGAAGGTACATACTTTGAATTACCACTACCATCATTCTCCTTATTAGTGTTTTATAATAAAACATAAAGATGTATCTACACACAGAAACTATATTATCCACCGACCCAATGAGAGATTCAGGCTATAATTTGAGGCAGTCAGTAAAGTATGATGTAACTGGTTCACGGATAATACCAATTTCATATCCATACAGTGATATGGCATCTTTACAGCTTCATCATTACCCTAATTGCTAGTTTATACGCAAAGAAATATGTTGCCTCAAGAAAATGATCTTTAAAAACTGACAAATGTTATTATCATGGTCATTATGATATTCCTGATATAATGAATAGTCTGATGTTATATTTACTAATCTCCCATGTTTGATATGTTGGTTCAAATTAATTGTCTACTGTTGACAAACAGAATAATCATATAAGGCACTTGGTACTACTGTTATTTCCATTTTGATAATTTTGAACAGTTGATGGCAGTGGAATCGAGAAAATGTAGTTCATCTACAGGAAACTAACACATTCTAACAGTTATCTAGACTTCAGGTCATCTCATCCAATTCTAGTTGAGGAGGGTTCAGTTAAATGTTTAAATCATGGAGCTAAAAATCTCACTAGTCATTGTAAGGACTTAAACATGGAGATGATACAAATAGAAGAAACTATCTTTTACTGTTTATTAAGAAATTCATACAAACACACAAGAAACTAAATCACAACAGTAATACGAGTACAAATAAATTCAAAGCCTCTGTCGTGTTACCATATGAGGAGAAAATATCAGAAACTTAGCGTAGGATTCTGAACAAGGCAGGAATTAGTGACATTTAAACCTATAAACTCACTGAAAGATAGGGTTTGCCGGCATCAGGATCTGATAGATTCAATTAAGCAAAATGATCTAATCTACGAAATCCGATGAAATGACTGTGAGGTCAGGTACATAGGGCAAACTAACCGGTTGGGGTCAGTCGGATTGTCGGAACACAGGAATTTAGCTAAATATAGAATTACAGACTCCAATAAGACCAATAATCCAGGAAAAAAAATCTAGGCTATTGTAAAGCATGCGTTAATGCACAACCATAAAGTAGGGTGGGATAAGACCAGTGTACTTAAATCCAATATAATAGAGTAGAGAGAGATTGATTACTGACTCTTTATTCATGGAATCTACATCTAACACATGTAATCGGAATGATACAATAAATATACCTGAGATATGGAAAATTCTACTACCAATAAAAACAAAGAACATGAGGTGACAGGACTAGGAAAATCAAATGTCAAAAGTAGTGTGATTACACTGATATGACTATGAGGAATAGTAATTTATGCTGGAAACATCACCAAGTAAATAATACTGTACCACTGTGTATTATAAATCAAATAAACAAATCTAGTATAGAATAATATTCTACCACAGTGCCCAAGTTTTACACTTATATTAGTGCTTCATCCCACAAGCAAGTAGATACTGTTATTTTTACTGAGTCTAATCTAGAAAATTCAATAGACTTAGTGAATAATTTAATGGGTTCTAGGATCGTGTCCTTTGTGGGAACAGTACTAATTGATGTAAGCAAATCCAAAAACGAAACGTTAAATTCCACAAATATGAATACTGTAGTAAAATCTTTAATTTTATACCTTTAGTGAATAAAGATAATAGATAATAGTAATCTCATTGAGTTTTTGATGCAATCTATAATCAAAAAATTCAGTTTTCTGCTGCACAGTCTTGAGATGAAAGTTTAAAAAGTGATGGATTGATAAAGAGGTTGGATTTAAGTGCAACAATTTCTTTTCATATTTATTCAACATCATTTCTTGATGTAAACTTATCTAAATAACAAATGGATAGTATTTTGAAAGTAAGCAGATCTAAAAGAGTTGAAGATATTTCATAAATTCAAACAATCCTTTCTCGCATAACTGTTCACATTTTCCTTTTTATCTTAGAGTTTAAACTGATATCCTAAACTTTATATTTATTCAGTACCTGTCTAATGGATACAATGAGGTACAGACATATCATACAGCATTTTTACATGTTCAATCTCAAATTGAGTTACTGATCACTCAATAACGCCTTTATCATCTGTTTCTTCATTATCTGAAAGCAATTAATTCATGAGAATAAATCAATCATGAATAACAGTGATAAATTTATATCACAGTCTAATACAAACTGTGAGGCTGATGGCACTAGCAATCACGTAATTAATAACTCTGTATGCGGTAACTCTAGCATCAAGTCAATTACCAGTTCACCTTTGAGATCATCAGTGCGAGAACCAATTGATCATCATAATACTTCAAACGGTGTATCGTTTTCATATTTAAATTACCCAAATACTAATCAATGCAGAAATAGTAGGACCATCAGCAAGTACTTCAGACAAAATCAGTTAGTCAACTCTATAAAGAAATCACTCAATAATTCGTGCAGTAGTTGTTATTTAAGTCATAATTTTTGTGCTACTGATAATAAGTCCAGTTATAGAAGTATGAAGTGTGATATCAGTAGCTCAAGTCGTAATTATGCTGCATATTCTGAGAAACTGGAATCCAATAACAGATTTTTCGATAACAATAAAAATACTACTACTAATAGTAATCAAAACAGTAGTAACATTAATTCTCAAAAGTCGCGTCATCGAAATCAAACAATTATTCAACGATTGCAAATTATTCAAATTGCATAACAAATTCCGCATCAAATCTATTCATAGATGATATACATAATATATCTCCGGGAGCCACAGATGTGGCAGCTGCGGCTGTAGCCGCTACCTCAGCAGTATCAACAGATATGAATTCAACGAATTTCACTAGAATGAATAATTCAGTTGAACAGAACTTTTTAAATTATTTTAGGCATCATTCAAGTAGAGCTAGTCCAGTTACAGTAAGTTCAATGTTTATTCTTTCAAGAAGTATAGAATTAAAGTTTAATTTGAAAAATTGACACAGGGTTGATGAACTCAGTTTCAAACTCAGTGGTAGTTTGACCGATGTTAGTTGGTAACAGGCAGGAAGCTCTGATTGACCTTTCTTTCCTACTTGTTAGCACTTGACAGGAAAGTTCACCTGCAACCTTAAAGGAACCGATATCTCTTCCGAGGTTTGAGCCGGAGTCAGAGAAGTTTGCAACTGAACTATTTGGGCCACGACTGACCTCCTGTAGGACGATTAGATTCATTGATTGGTCACTGAAAGGCAACCAGTTTTGTGTTGTCTAGACCAGAGTGCTAACCAAATTCGATCGATCATTTTGGAATGTAGATACTGGGCTTGAAAGCTCAAGGTTACACATGCATCTTGCTGATACATGTCAGCAAGTACAAAATCTAGATCAAACCGGGGTTATGGCCGATCTCCTACAATCAACTAATATCCAACAAGGTGCATTGCGATGGTGAGCCTCCAAGTTTGTTAGCTAATTGTTAGATAGAATCCGGTTACCACTCAGAATTAGACCAATCAATGTATAGCTTGACTAAGACTAATAAAACAATAAACAACTTTACTGGTTTTATAGAAGGGTTGAGCCAGTAACGAGCATACTGACGGTTTGAATCCTACGACCAACCAAATTTTCTGTCAGTTCGAGTCATTACGTATAAAAACTTTAATGCTTAAAATTATTTTCTTTTTTCCAGAGATTAACATAGCTGCCAAGAGTAATTCAAGTAGCGTCTGACTATTGTTCACTGTTAAATATTTAGCTTTTTGTTGGGCTTTAATTCACTGTTGACTATTTCCGAGCTATCATAGAAAGGTAAAGAAAACATCATTCTGTTATAGTTTGACAGACAGTTCACGATGAAATACTTTGAAATATCCAGCTGTTGGCGACGTAATGTTTTTACTGCAAACATCAAGAACTAAGTAGCAGTGATTTAAAAAGTCTTTGTGAGGTTAAGTTAGTTGATTTCATCTAGGAAAGTAAAATTAGTTTGCATTCTGATCAACCAGAAGCATGAATTATATAACCAACTTGTTTAAAGAACATGGGATGATCAATTCTCAATGATTTACAAACTGTACAGACCACCTTGACAATTGTCGTAGCTGGGTAGTTTTTCAGCTGTCCAGCTGTAGTGTCAACAGGGTTTCCGTTGGAAACCACACATAAGCCGGGATCAACAGATGTGATCTCTGACACAAAAAGGTCAGGAACTAGCGAAATATACTACTAATAAACAACTTGAGTCACTAGACCCACTCACCAAACCTTGTTGTGAATATGGGTGGGGAGCTGACAAGCTACTCAGCTGTGAGAAATGTCAGCGGGGACCGTACAATTCGGAAATCATCTGTAAATTAATCTAGCCATTTTAGTTATACTGGTCTGTGCAAGTTAGCCAGATTCAGGCTATCTGAACTAATTCAGTTTCGTGAGCTGAATTCGCTCATGTAAACGTCTGACGAGCTCGGCCTCAAATGAGCAAAATGGCTATCCGACGACTAGATCACCTTGATTAGCTGCCTGATAAATATACAGATCAACCTGAGTGGTTTCTAATAACCCAGGTTGTTCACTTGTAGTATATTTCGCTATTCAAAGAAAAGTCGATTAAACGGATAAGGGTTATGTGCATTGTTGAAGGAGTTATTGTGTTGGAAATACATATATAATGAATTTTTACATAATTTCTGTGCGAACAATTCTTCAACATTAAAACTTATGTTAATGTAAACAATTTCATGAGTTTTCATTCAGCAAAGTTTTTCGAGTAGGGTGGAATTGTTTTGTGAATGAATTGTTTGGCTAGAAACACTGAAATACTAACTAGATTCTATATATTAGAGTGGATGGCATAAATCACTTGCTGTCAACTAAAAATATCGACCAAACGACAAAAATATCAAAACACGCTATAAGAGGAGTGACAGTGAGTGCAAACTGAGACGTTTTACACCTGTATAGTAATGATAAGAAATGAAGATATTTTTATCTTTTTGATCAACTTTGATGCATAGTACTGAGAATTTTTAACCAATTCCTTCATGGTTTGGTATCATATTTTGATCTGAGCTGTGTATGGCGATATAGACTACTTGGTTGAGGTTCCGGAGACGACAAAAATTAGTAGACGAGGGCACTTGGGGAAAGGGCTCAGAATTGGCCACACTTATTATTATTTGTCCCTCAGGTTCCCAATGGAACATACGGCTTCAGTAGCACGTCTCCATTCCACTCTGTTCTCTGAAATTTTTCGAACCTGGCTCCACGATAGCCCAGAAGCTCTCATTTCCTCCTCGCACGATCTCCTCCATGTTACCCTAGCCTTGGACGCCCAACTCGTTGCTTCCCATGGGGATTCCACTCGAGGGTCTGACGCGTGATGTCCCCAGGTGGCTTTCTCAGTGTATGCCCAATCCATCTCCACTTCCTCCTGCATATTTGTTAAGCTATAGATTCTTGGTTGGTTCGTTACTTGGCCAGATTTCCTTGTTGCTTATTCTTTCTGGCAATCCATCTGATCTTCAGCAACGAGCGTGGGAAGTTGTTGATGAATGTCTGTAGTTTGTTGGAAATGCCTTTCGTAACACACCAAGTCTCTGAGCCATACAGAAGCACTGACTTGACTGAAGTTGGTGTTGAAAATCCGGATCTTGTTCCACATGCTGAGTGCAGAAGATCTCCTAACTGGTTCCAGGCTTATAAACGCCTGTCTTGCTTTTCCGATCCTGCCTGGCTTTGACGTCCTCGTCTGTGCCGCCTGTAGTTGAGACAGTGCTGACTAGATAGGTGAAGGAGGCTAATTCCTTTAAGTTTCTCCTTTTGATGGTGACTGGAGCTTGTTGTACCTGTTGTTGTTGGCTGGGTATCTTCATCACCTCTGTCTTCTCTCCATTCACTTGAAGTCCCGTCTTCACTGCCTCTTCTGCCAACTTGTTAGTTTTCACCTGCAGATCTTCCAGTTTGTGTGACATCAGACACAAGTCATCGGCGAAATCCAAGTCTTCTAGATTCTTTTCCACGGTCCAGCTAGTGTATCCTGTATTCTGGATCTTCTCACTCCTCACAGTTTGTTGCAAGATCCAGTCGACCACAAGCAGGAATATCATGGGTGATAGTAGGCAGCAGCCTTGTTTTACTCCTGTCTTCACTTCAAAAGCATCACTGAGTTTCTCCTTGTGAATTACTTGGCATGTGGCGTCTTCATGTAGTTGTTGAATGAGATTGATAAAGGTTTGCAGCATTTCGTAGTGTTGAAGCAGTTTCCAAATTACTTCTCGGTCGACGCTGTCAAAGGCCTTCTCAAAGCCGATAAGGTTGAGGTAGAGTTAAGTTGACTGACATTCTATGCTTTGTTCTATGATGATGCGAAGCGTTGCAATTTGGTCCTCACATGATTTGTACTTTTTGAATCCAGCCAGCCTGTTCCGGTCGTAGTTTTGAGTTCAGTGCATCTTTTAGTCTCTCCAAGATGATGCGGCGTAATATATTGCTTGCATTGGGTGGACAGGAGAGTGATTCCACGCCAGTTCTTGCAAACACTGATGTCACCCTTCTTCGGGAGTTTGACAAGGTAACCCTTCTCCAGTCTTCAGGTACCTTCCCTTCCTTCCAGACCTTCTGCAATAGTGGTATGGTGTGAGCATGTCCGCTGTTGTCTCTGCGTCTGCTCTCAGTGCTTCTGGCAGGATTTCATCTGGTCCTGCTGCTTTCCCACATTTCAGTATCTTTATGGCCCTCAGGACTTCCACTTTTGTTGGAGGATTTATATTCACTTGTAGTTCTGTGGCTGGGCTGTAGGTGGTATTTCTGGGTGAAGTGCAGGTGGTGGTTGATTCAAGAGCTTCTTGAAGTGGTCGGCCAGCCCATTGTTTCCTTTGTTTCTCTTCTTTGGTAATTATATTTTCTTCATCATCTTTTATTGGTTTCATCTTTGTTGATCTCTTCCCTCCCAGATAGTAACCTGGTTATTTGATACAATGTTGTCAGGTCTCCGTCTCTCCTACCTGCAGCCTGTTCTGCTTCACTTGAAAGTGTGTCGTAGAAGTGTCTTTTGTCTTTGCGTGCACTCTTCTTCACTTCTTTGTCCAATGTAGTGTTGTATGCATTGTACTCAGTTCCTCTTCTCTTTATTCATTCTTGCACTGGTTTATCTTCTGCTTCACCATCCTCCTCTCCCTGCTCTATCAGTTTCCATGTGTCCATCGAGATCCATTCCTTATCTTCTTTCTTCTTCTTCTTCCTCCTTAGTACGGTTATACAGGTTTCTTTCCACATCTCTTTCAAAGACTTCCAGTGTCCTTCCACACAGGTTTCTTCAGGGATGTTCCTCGATATCTCCCATTTTGTCTTGATGGCTGGCTTCCGTGAAGATGTACTTTGTAGTTTCGCCCTTCAGTTTCTCTTCTGAGTGTTGTACTTGAACTGTGGTCTATCACCAGCTTCCTTGAAGGCTTTCAACTTGATTTGGAAGGTTCCTTGCACTAGATAGTGAATGTTCTGAACCTACATCTGCTCCTCTTCTTGACCTTGTGTCAAGTAGACTGCATCTCCACTTTCTTGAGATTGAGATAAAGTCGATCTAATTATTAGTGTGTCCTGGTGTCTGGTGAAATTCATGTCGCTCGCTTTGTGGATATCCTTGTGCTTGAACACAGTGCTTCCAATCACCAAATCGTTGAATGCACAGAACTCTGCAAACAATTCTCCATTCTCGTTCATCACCTCAGTGAGCGCTTCTCGGCCCATAGTTTGTTCTCTTCCTGTGTTGTCCCCTCCCAGTTTGGCATTCATGTCAGTCTGCCCATTAGAATTTTGATATCGCCAACTGACGTCTTGTCCAGTGTTGATTGAAGTTGTCTGTAGAATTCCTCCTTCTTCTCTTGCTCTGCTTTATTTGTAGGTGCGTAGCTTTGTATGATTGTGACTTTCGTTCCTTTCGAGAGAGAGCCTTCGATGCCTTTGGGTACATCATGATAGCCACTCCACAACCCAGTGTACTCGTGGTTGTCGTCTGGGCGTCAATATCAGAGTAGATTATTGATTCTCCAGTTGACAGTTTGAAGAGTATACTTCCATTCCATCTGTATTCGTAAATTCGTAACACTTCAGTGCGATACCTTCTCATCTCGTTTGCAAACTGGGCTGCCTTGCTGGGTTCAAGCATCGTGCGGAAATTCCATGTCCCCACGTTTACTTTCGCTTTCATCGAGAGAAGAGAAGACAACCCGGCCAATTAGCTTCCCGAAGGCTTTCACCAACCGGCATCATTTCGCCTCTCCAATTCCAGCTAGGAATAAGTTCAATTTTATGTTTGATATTTTCCTTGTGCTTTGAAGTTTCTTTAGCGGTTGGATTGGTTTTACGGGGTAGGGTTTCTAGCCCTATGCCCAACCTTCCCTGTGTACCCGGGCTTAGGATCGGCTAGTAACTAGTGAACTAGTTGACCAGTCTAGGTTATTGGCCATAATGGTGTGAGTGTATTCAAACAATGACTTCTTTGTGCCAAATATTTCTAAAAGGCTGCAAAATCATGTGTATGGATACCGGACTGCTAAGCAGGGCTAAATTGATAGGAAGTGCCTTTCTTGAAAGGTACAGGAATCATCAACGCTGTCATATATATATATATATATATATATATATATATATCGCTGTACTTTGAACACACTTTAACTTGGCAGCTAACCTTCTACCGTTTACCATTTATCTGTTTCCGAGGAATCAAGCAACTACCAAGGATGGGATTTCAAGGTCAAGGTTCAAGAGTTCATAATTGTATCAGTTGTTCAAGCCATATCTATTTTCAGTTTAATGTTTGAATATTTCAGATACCTCTGAATTTTGTGCATCAGTTTAGGCTATGCAAATTCAACTTAAATGGTGGTAAGTCTGATACTACATAGTCTATTTTAATTTAGACAGGTAGATAGTGTTTTAGGAATCGTGCTTGACAAAGTCAGAGGCTAATCACTAATTATTCGCACCCATGAGTGTGAGACCAAGAAAGAAAAAAATAGCCTAGGCAGGTAGAAAGATTATATATGATAGACTGTGCTAAAATACAGATGTGCTCTGATTAACCGGTTGTATGTTGTGTAAAGGCAGCGCAACGTAACATGACGTACCAAATGGCATGGATGCTTTACCATACGCCTTCAGTTTAGATAGTGATTTAAAACTATTAAGGTCAGCATCAGTGTCGAACCCCCCGAACCTTCGCTATTGATTTTGGTGAATTATGTGCCACTGCAGTATGTCAGATTACACATGCTATCAGGCTGTCAGTTATAACGAAGTTCACAGCTAAGCAACTTTATAATTGTAGAAGTAACTTAACAAATCTTACTTGATAATTATTTATTCAATTTATAGGTTCAATGGCTTTTAGAAAACTATGAATCAGCCGATGGTGTCAGTCTATTAAGAAGTGGACTGTATTCACATTATTTAACCCATTGTTTGCAGAACTGGTTAGAACCAATGAATCCAGCATCGTTTGGTAAATTGATTCGTTCAATTTTTGTTGGTTTACGCACAAGACGGTTGGGTACACGGTAATGAATGTTAAATTTTTATCATTTTGAACTATGAATGTACTTAACGTTTAGAATCTTCAGCTAACAGATTACAAATGAACAGTGATTGATCGGTCAGTGGTTGAAAAGTCTAATCCATAGCTTGATGAACTTATTGACAAATTGTTGTCGAAATGATACGGATTTGAGTAGTGAAAAAATCATAAGTGAATTTCAGATTGCTTGTATGTCTTACGAATATGTATTAATTGGTACAAAACTCTGATGAAGAATTTCTTACCATTTTGTTGTGAGCACTTCATCACTAGGTTTAGTGACATCATCAGCACTAACTTCATAAAGACCCCTTCATAAAGTTAGTGCTGAAGACGTTACTAAACCTAGTGATGAAATGTTCATGACAAAATATCAAGCCTCAGAACACACTAAACCTCCATCATCTTCATCCTGAGCTGCGAATCTTCCTCATCGTTTCATTTTCTTACCATTTTCACTTTATGTACATAATTTAGTAAAATGAGGCATTTAAACTGGCTTACTTCTCAACAGTACACAAAGTGTAGTTGATCAAAAATAGACTGATGTAATATAAACTTATCAGTAATCATCAACTTCGAAAGACTGAAATTATATCCAGTCTGAGAGTGATTTGAAACAAGATATTTGAATAAAGACATTCGAATATCTGTTCAGTGTTCAACAGTGACTGAATTCAATAGGGAAGTGTAAATATCTCAGATGATATCACTGAAATTTTAAAACAGGTAGGAGAATAAACAGACAGGAAGAAAGACAAACAGACGCAATAATACAGTGCATTCTACATACTGTTCAACAACCGAAAAACATTCATAGAAAGATGTTTATATAAAGCACTAGAATAAAATCCAGTGACACTTCGTAAGCGATTGTCAGATTGCTAGGAGTACAGGAAAGTATTATGAAGGGGAGTTTTTGAAACAAAAAAATAGTTAATTATTCGAAGTCCAAGAGTTGAATCTATTCAGCTGGAATGATTCACAGAGAGCAGTCAAAAGACTGGTATTCAGTTGAGTTTATAATATCTCAAAATCAAGACTTTTATCACTGTGAACAGACACTATATGTATAAGATGACCTTGGAAGATAAGGGTTAACTAGTACACTAAAAGAAGCAGGAGTCAGTCAGAACACTAGAGGGTTATATGAAATGTAGCTCAGCTGCACGAACAAAAGCAGTTCAGAAAGTATAAATCTTAAGTATGAAATGTAAGAAAAACGTCTTGATATTATTTGATAAATAGTTGAGATTATCTGTTCAACATGAAAAGCATCAATGTTCAAGATGAGAACATTCCTGCTCACCGTGTAATGATATTTTAATTAGCAAACGAACCCATTATGGGTTCAGTGTTGGAAAAATATAAATGGTATAGTGCCTACAAATTCACATTATAGTTTTTTTAATGTCTACAGCAATGATATATTGTACACAGGTGGGTTTCCTGAATTCAGTGATTAATAAATAATGTGGAGAACCATTTACCGCTTGGGAGCAACGCACAACTGTTATATCCATTTTTGGATTTCTTAGAAGTTAGCACGCATGGCTTAGTGTGAAATAGAACACTGGACCGAATGAGCAAGGACGGATGTCCACGAATTATATTAGATGATGATAGCGTTGTATTACGAATAGAAAAAATAAGTGTGTATGAACCGTCAGATTCTAATCTAGTGACCAAATAGTAAGGTGATCTCTGAGAGACCTGACGCTCCTGTATTTGATGCTTCGTAAAGTCGTGTTGTACGCTGCTGAAGATTCCTGAACGATGACAACGTAGATCTTCAATACTCTGTGGACCTTTATTATATTATTATTAGTCCCTTGGGTTCCTAGTGGAACATAGGGCTTCAGTAGCACGCCTCCAGTGACCTCTGTTCTCTGAGATCTTTTGAACCTGGTTCCACGACAGCCCACAGGCTCTCATTTCCTCCTCGCACGACCTCCTCCATGTCACCCTCGGACGTCCAACTCGTCGCTTCCCATGGGGATTCCACTCGAGGGCCTGGCCTGACGCGTGATGTCCTCAGTCGGCCTTCTCAGTGCATGGCCAATCCATCTCCACTTCTTCCTGCATATTTGTGCGTGATAGGTTCTTGGTTGGTTCGTTCAGAGTTCCTTGTTGCTTATTTTTTCTGGCCATCTGATCTTCAGCAGCGAGCGTAAGCAGTTGTTGATGAATGTCTGTAGTTTATTGGAAATGCCTTTCGTGACGCGCCAAGTCTCTGAACCATACAAGAGCACTGACTTGACGTTGGTGTTGAAAATCCGTATCTTGTTTCGCATGCTGAGTGCAGAAGATCTCCACACTGGTTTCAGGCTAATGAACGCCTGTCTTGCCTTTCCGATCTGGCTTTGACGTCCTCGTCCGTCCCGCCTGTAGTTGAAACAGTGCTTCCTAGATAGGTGAAGGAGGTTACTTCCTTCAAGTTTCTCCCGTTGACGGATTGGAGTTTGTTGTTGTTGTTGTGTTGGTGTGGTGCGGTATCTTCATCACTTCTGTCTTCTCTATATTCACCTGAAGTCCCGTCTTCGCTGCCTCTTCTATCAACTTGTTAGTTTTTGCCTGCAGATCTTCAAGTTTATGTGACATTAGGCATAAGTCATCGGCGAAATCCAAGTCTTCTAGGTTCTTTTCCGGTCCAGTGTATCCCCCTCTTCTCGCTCACTGTTTGCTGCATGATCCAGTCCACACATAAGGAATATCATGGGGATAGTAGGCAACCTTGTTTCACTCCTGTCTTCACTTCAAAGGCATCACTGAGCTTCCATTGTGGATTACTTGGCATGTGGCATCTTCATATAGTTGTTGAATGAGGCGGATAAAGGTTTGCGGTACTCCGTAGTATTGAAGCAGTTTCCAAATTACTTCTCGGTCGACGCTGTCAAAGGCCTTCTCAAAGTCGATGAAGTTGAGGTAGAGAGCTGATTGCCATTCTATGCTCTGTTCTATGATGATACGAAGCGTTGCAATTTGGTCAGCACATGATTTGTACTTCCTGAAGCCTGCCTGTTCCGGTCGCAGTTTTGAATCCAGTGCGTCTTTAAGCCTCTCAGGATGATCGGCTTAATATTTTACTTGGGGTGGACAGGAGAGTGATTCCGCGCCAGTTCTTGCAAGCACTGAGGTCTCCCTTCTTCGGCAGTTTGACAAGGTAACCCTTCTTCCAATCGACAGGTACCTTTCTTCCTTCCACACCTTCTGCAATAGTGGTGTGAGCATGTCTGCTGTTGTCTCTGCATCTGTTCTCAGTGCTTCTGGCGGTATTCCATCTGGTCCTGCTGCTTTCCCGCATTTCAGTAGCTTTATGGTGTTCAGGACTTCCATTTTCGTTGGGGATTATGTTCACTTGTAATTCAGCGGCTGCAGGTGGTATTTCTGGACGAAGTGCAGGTGGTGGTGTCGATTCAAGAGCTTCCTGAAGTGGTCGGCCCATTGTTTCCTCTGTTTCTCTTCTTTTGTAATTAAATTTCCTTCTTCATCTTTTATTGGTTTCATCTGTGTTGGTCTCTTCCCTGATAGCAACCTGGTTATTTGATACAATGTTGTCAGGTCGTCTCTCCTACCTGCAGCCTGTTCTGCTTCACTTGAAAGTGTGTCGTAGAAGTGTCTTTTGTCTTTGCGTGCACTCTTCTTCACTTCTTTGTCCAGTGTTTTATACATCGTGCTCAGTTCCTCTTGTCGTTGAGCATCCTTGCACTGGTTTATCTTCTGCTTCACCATCCTCCTCTCCTCTATCAGCTTCCAGGTATCCGTCGAGATCCATTCCTTATCTTCTTTCTTCTTCCTTCCTAATACGGCTGTGCAGGTTTCTTTCCACATAGCTTTCAAAGACTTCCAGTGTTCTTTCACACAGGTTTCTTCAGGGATGTCCTCGATATCTCCCATTTTCTTGATGGCTGCCTGAAGATTCTTTGTAGTTTCATCCTTCAGTTTCCGAGTGTTGTACTTGAATTGAGGTCTATCACCAGCTTCCTTGAAGGCTTTTAACTTGATTTGGAAGGTTCCTTGCACTAGATAGTGAGTGGTGTGAACCTACATCTGCTCCTCTTCTTGACCTTGTGTTAAGTAGACTGCCTCTCCATTTTCTTGAGATTGAGATAAAGTCGATTTGATTTTTAGTGTGTCCTCTGGTGAAGTTCATGTCGCTTTGTGGATATCTTGTGCCTGAACACACTGCCTCCAATCACCAAATCGTTGAATGCACAGAATTCTGCAAACAATTCTCCATTCTCATTCATTTCACCTAGCGCCTCTCGACCCATGGTTAGTTCTCTTCCCGTGTTGTCCCCTCCCAGTTTGGCATTATGTCGCCCATTAGAATTTTGATATCGCCAACTGACGTCTTGTCCAGTGTTGATTGAAGTTGTCTGTAGAAATCCTCCTTTTTCTCTTGCTCTGCATTATTTGTAGGTGTAGCTACATTGTATGATTGTGACCTTTCTTCCTTTTGAGTTGAACTTGCTGTCATGATCCTGAGGAGATTGGTTCCCACTGCATGAGAGCCTTCGATGCTCTTGAGGACATCATGATAGCCACTCCCTCAGTGTGCTCGTGGTTGTCGTCTGGGTGACCGGAGTAGATTATTGATTCTCCAGTTGACAGTTTGGAGAGTCCACTCCATTCCATCTGCTTTCGCAAATCCCAAGCACTTCGATGTTATACCTTCTCATCTCCTTTGCAATCTGGGCTGCCTTACTGGGTTCAAACATCGTACGGACATTCCATGTCCCCACGTTTACTTTCGCTTTCATCGAGAGAAGACACATCGGCCAATTGGCTTCCCGAAGGCTTTCACCAACTGGCGTCATTTCGCCTCTCCGATTCCAGCGGGAATAAGTTTGTTTTCATTTTTTATATTTTGTTTGTGCTTTGAAGTTTCTTTAGCGGTTAGATTTGTTTTACGGGGTAGGGTTTCTAGCCCTATGCCCAACCTTCCCTGTGTACCCGGGCTTAGGACGGCTAGTAACTAGTAAAC